AGTGTACCTAATGCTATTCCTTAACAGAAGCTTATGTGGATGAGGTGCACTCCATGGTGTAAACATCCATTGAGACTGAGACAGAACCTTCAGGAAGATAGAACATGCTAGCGGGGGAGCAAAGTCTCAAAAGAGGCCAGTCAATGACATGACTAAACAATGAACAGGTCATTGGTCATCTTAGCTGGTAACAATCTTTATACGGAGTTAGGACACAACACCGGGGTGAGGGTGCAAATGGCAATGCAGAAATGGTGATGGTGAAGATTGTGGCAGGAGGGAAGAGAGAACAATAGGCAAGGGGAAGGAGAAGGTTCTGTTTTTGTTGGTTGATTCGTTGTGATTTTTGTTGCTATTTTTATAATATTTTATTGTGTTTTCAGTGAATTTTACACAGCAAATTAGGTTCTCACATAACAATTACTATACATTTGTTCAGCAACACTAGCTCCAGTTGTCACAATGTGCCAGCTCTCTCATTATTCTGTTCTGCATGTTTTGTTTCTAGTCTCTGGTTTCTCTAGCCCCTTAACCTTTGATCTTTACTTAAAAAGGATTGTTGATCATTTGGTCTCATAGACATGATTGTTTAAAATATGCACAGTACTTACTATTTTAAGAATCAATCCTTTATGTTTCTAAAAGGTGACCTGGAGGGTGGTTTTAGCTCAAAGTTTATAAACTATTTCAAGGATATAGTCTCAGGGAGTACACTAGTCTTAAATGTCTAGTAAGTCTTGAGCTCTTTAAGAATTAGAGTTCTAAGGGGGAAAAAAAGAGAGTTCTGTTCCAAATTTTTCTCCTTTTATAAAGATCTGTCTGTTGTATCCTCTATCAGAACAGCAGGTAGTGTTAGGTGTCCACCATCTAGTTCTTCTGTTCTCAGGGCAGATGAAGCGATGTGCAATGCTAGCTTAAAAGTTGGCCTTTCTAGCCATTATGTTAGCCTCCTCTGCTTTTCAGCTATCTTAACTAGAGACACAGGGTCTTGCAGATCATCAACAGCTATGGGAATAGGATAAGAAAAAGAAAGTGCACTTCCCACACTGAGAAACCAGACTTGAGAGAGATTGAAGCAAGACCGTGGTGAGAGTAAAACCAGAGCAAGACCTGGTGATGGTGAGGCTGTGGCATTGCTGTGGAGAAACAGTGGCAAGGTGTAACCAGAGGAACCCCTGCACAAAGGCCACAGTTAAAGGTTTTACTGTTCTTGCTGGATGATGGAAGGAAGAGCTGCTTGCTGACCTGAAACCAGAGCCTGGACTAATTGAGGAATTGTGCCTTGGAAGCAGGAGTGGCATCCACTTCCGAAACAACATGCCTCCGAAAACTCTAAGAACTTTGATAAATGTCGATAGTTGCAGAGGGGCTTCAGGCCTTTTGTTCATAGGGTCGCTATGAGTCATGTTCAACTCGAAGTCAATCAACAACAACAACAACTCCTTGGCTAAAATGTAGACTTGCATTGGGTGATTTTCTTTACCTCTCCCACTTTCTAACTCACTTCCTAACAAACCCCACTCTCACTTCCACAATTGTGCGTAAAGTCTGTGAATAAAAAAATGAATGTTGAACTCAGTGAAGGGTGGAAATAGTACAGGAGCATAGGAAGTGGCATGTCTGACCTAGCAGCCATCTGTTTGCTACTACGGATATTATTGATGGGGACAGTCGCCCTTTATGAAGTGGGTAGAAGTCAGAATAAGCCTCCCCCATGTTGCATTGGCTCCTTTTGCATTGTGGTTCATATGAGCTCTCAGTGGCTCGAAGGGAGAAAATTGGACAATCTCCTTCTATTGCAATTTACAGCCTCAGAAACCTGATGGAAGGTCACTGTGAGTCAGAACTGACTTCATGGCAGTTAGCTGAATTGAGTATTAGTCTTTTAGACTAGTTTATTCTCTGAGTTCTTTCTTTCTTTTTTGCTACAGACAAGATGAGATCTATCTATCTATCTATCTATCTATCATCTCTTTCCTCTCTTCTTCTTGCTCTCTCAATAGATGATAGATAGATAGATAGATAATACCAATAGACTAAGTTGTCCCACAAGACTATTTATTAAGGCCTTTAAACCCAGAAAATAAACCCCTAAAGCATTCAATTCAGTCTAACAAGAATCCTTGATTGTGCCTTTTGTACAGTTCATTACATAACACGCACACATATGCATGTATATATACATGTATAAAGCTATATCTACACATGCACATACATGCATACACATACCTTTACTCGTGTGTATATATGCATGCATATATAACCATATGTGTATTTTTTGGTTGGTGTTAATGTTACTAATATGATTCACCTTAGTCAAGCCATGTGCCCTTCATTCACATTTGGTACTACGTCATTGCCCTTCACCAAACAGGGAAAAAATATCAATTAGAAAGAATAATGGAGGATTTTCTCTCCTTACCCTTCACCTGTTCTGGTAACTACTAATGAACATTGGTTTCTGTTTATATACCAATGCTTATCTGTTATTTTTCAAGACAGACGTGAGCATATTTATGTACTGAAATGTAAGAATGAGCTTTCATTCAACATTAATTTCAAAAGATTCATTCATGCTATTGCATGAAGTTAGGTTGCCTAATTCATGAATACATCACCATTTTTCTTAAAAAAAAGTCTTTTCTACTACACATGGTTAAAAATCAAGAAAGGGGTTCATCAGGGATGTATTGTGTCTCCATACGTTTTCAATCTGTATGCAGAACAGATCATCCAAGACGCTGGACTGTACGAGGAGGGATGAGGCATCAGGATTGGTGGAAGAATCATCAGCAACCTGCGTTATGCAGATGACACAACCCTGCTTGCTGAAACTGAGGAGGACCTGAAGCATTTGTGCAGAAGGTCAAAGACTGTAATCTTCAGTACAGCTCTAAGCTCAACATCAAGAAGTCAAAGATTCTCATCACTGGGCCAACTGGCAGCAGCATGATAGATGGAGAAGAGATAGAAGTTGTTAACAATTACAACTTGTTTAGCTCCACAGTCAGCATTCTTGGCACCAGCAGTCAGGAAGTCAAATGATGATTTGCACTCGGAAAATCTGTTGTCAGGGACTTCTCCAGAGTACTGAGCAGCAATGATGTAAGTCTAGAGACTAAGGTATGCCTGATCCAGGCTATGGTCTTCAAAATTACTTGCTATGCATCAAAAAGCTAGATAATTATTAAGGATGACAGAAGAAAATTTGATGCCTTTGAGTTGTGGTGCTGGAGAAGAGTCTTGAACATACCATGGACCACCAAGAAAGCAAATAGGTTTGTCCTGGAGAGGGTGAAACCAAGTTTCTCCTAGAAGGCTGGGATTAGGTATGTGAGCCTCATCTCACATATTTTGGGCAGGTGATCAGGAGGGATCAGTCCTTGGAGAAGGACATCATGCTCAGAAAGGCAGAGGGACAGCACAGAAGAGGAAGATCTCAGATGAGATGGATTGACACAGTAACAGGGGCAATGGAGGTAGGTGTGTCAGAGTCAGTGAGACTGGCTCAGGAGAGGGCAGGCTTCAGAGCTGCTGTTCATAGGGGCACTGTGAGTCACAGGTGACTCAATGGCGCATAACAACAACAACAACAGTATACATGGAAGTTATGTTTACACTATATTATACTGTGCAGTAGCGTTAGGAAAAGGTTTGAAATAGTCACAGCATTTCCAAAATGTGACAAAGACACAAACAAGAATTATTGGAAAAGTAATCTTCATAGACTTACTCAACATGATATGGCTGCAAATCTTCAATTTGTAAAAAACACGGTATCTGCAAAGTACAATAAAAGACAAAATAATCTGAGATTCCCACACCTGCCTGGTGTGGAGTTGCTGGGTCATGAGAAGTCTTCACTGCTGCTCAGTATTGAGTGATGGTTCCTCTTGTTCCTATCCTCATCCACATCCAGTATATATATTTGTTTGTTTGTTTTAAACCTCTTTTATTAAAATCTGCTCAGAGTTGGTGAGGTTGGCTCAGGATAGGACAAGGTTCAGAGCCATTGGTCATAGAGTCACTATGGGTGATAGTCAACTCAATGGCACGTAACAACGAGGAGATAAAAATCCCTGGGCTAGTTCTTCTTTTTCCCAGATAACTTGTTTTAGTTTTCTAGGACCACATAACAAAAGATCATGAAGCAGATTGGTTCTCAGAACATAAGTTGATTATCTCACAGTTTGAGGGACCAAACGCATGAATTTCGCATCATTAGGGCTGGTTCTCTTTGCCTCTCTCCCAGGTTCTCCTAGTTCTAGGAGCTCCTTTGCCGGCAGATGGGTCTTCACATGACTGTCTTTCCTCCATCTATGTCTATCTCGTGTCTTTTCTCCTGTTTCCTAAGGATGCCATGTGTGAATTAGAACCACCCCTCTCCAGTATGACCTCAGGTTAATGGCTACATCTTCAAACACCCTATTTCCAGCAAAGTCATGTTCACAGGTCCCAGGGGTTAGGACTTCAACATAAATTGTGGGGATACAGTATAATTCATAATGGTGATAGGGCATTCTTATGTGTGTCACTACTGTACGCATGTCCATAAAGGAGACAAGCAATTCCCAAGTGAGAATGCCAAAACATTACGTTGCTTCTGACTGATGTAAGAAGAATAATTCTTGGGCTTTGGTGGCTTTATTATTTTTTAAAAAAAAAAACAAACTTCTTTCTGACATGACTGTCACGTGCAAGTGTTCTGATAGCCAAACTGAGAACCACTCTTGGTTGGCTGAGAACTCACGTGTCTTGCTAGGGGCCTCAGCTTGGCTGTATTGACCATACCTTCACTGTAAAGTCATAACTCCCCAGTGTATTTCTGTACCAAAGCCTGCTCCTCACAGCCACCACCACTAAGGCAAAGAGATCATTAGTATTTTCTCCCAAATGAAACGGTATAGATACAGTGGTTTCCCCACGTGCTACTCATGATTATGTTCTCCCACAGGATTTGACCAACTGGCCTGGACCCGGCCCACAGCCTGCTCTCCATCATGGCCACCTCAGCATCCTGGCTGACCAGGAAACTGTTCCCCTCCAAAATGAGCAAATGGCTGGGGCTTGCTTGTTTCCGGTCACCCACGGTCTCTCCCAACACTCGCCAGAAGAAATTAATCCAGAAACTGCAGGAGGAAAAAGCTTTTCGGGACGAGATGAAAACTTTCCGTGAAAAAATCGAGGCGTTTAGGGAAGAGATGTGGCATTTCCGAGGCAAGATCCACACATTCCGAGGTCAGATCTTGGGCTTTTGGGAGGAGGAGAGACCTTTCTGGGAAGAGGAGAAAACCTTCTGGAGAGAGGAAAAGACCTTTTGGGAAATGGAAAAATCTTTCCGAGAAGAGGAGAAAGCCTTTTGGAAGAAGTACCGCACCTTCTGGAAGGAGGACAAGGCCTTCTGGAAGGAGGACAATGCCCTGTGGGAGAGAGACCGGAACCTTCTGCAGGAGGACAAGGCCCTGTGGGAAGAAGAAAAGGCCCTGTGGACGGAGGAACGAGCCCTCCTGGAGGAGGAGAAGGCTCTGTGGGAGGACAAGAAATCCCTCTGGGAAGAAGAGAATGCCCTTTGGGAGGAGGAGAAAGCCGTCTGGGCAGAAGGTGGTGCCCACATTGCCGAGTTCCTGGAAGAAAGGCCCTACTATGTGGACGGAAGGCTGCTATCACTACCCTTCTCCCGAGGCAGGGCATGAATGCAGGAGAAGAGGTTCCATGGGGTACAGACTCTGATGGAGTGGAACTCAAGTCCAATGTGGCCCCATGTCCTGGAGTAAACTATGTATTCGTCTCCTTGCTTTGAAAGATCTAATAAAGTCCTGAGGCGAAGTTAGGAAAACCAACCAGCTCCTTCGTTTCTCTCAGCTTTGGTGATTAGTCCAGGTTATATTCCCATCCTGCAGGCTGAGTTCTTGGTCCTAGGCAATTCCCGGTAGGCCGTGCACATGTGATGTTTGTGACTGGAGACAGGGGTGTTTTGTTTACAGGAGTCGGGAAGAGGCTGGGACTCGGATGACACCCGTAGAGACACATCAGGACAGAGAGGGGCTGAGACACCACTGCCTCTGTGATAAGGGGCAGAGGTGGGGGTGGGGCTCACCTCTCCTCCACACTGGGCAGATTTGGAGGCCTGGGGTGAGTGGAAAATTTTCATGGCAAGGCACAAAGCTGTTAACAATTTATCTGTGACTTTTCTTCTCTGACAGACCCAATCAGACACAATGGGCAGAATCCCGTCAAAGCCCACTTACTGGTAGACCTGAATTTCTACCGGACTTCTCCACTGCCCATTCAGCCAGCATGAGTGAGAGCCTGTACATCACACTGGGGCTCCAGAGCACACTGCACAGACTCCCCAGACCTCGGTTGCTTTTTATAATTCCCTGCCTTTGAGTTCCCTTCTTACCATTGGTTTTTAACACGGATATGCCCCAGTGAGGTAGTACGTTAAATGGATTTACACTCATGTGGCAGTAACTTAGATAACCAACTTTTCTCCTAAGGGGAGAGAGTAAATGGTCTAAGTGGGAATGTTTATGGAAATGAGTTCAAGAGGAAGATATGAGCAAGACAATTATCTTCTGCTTTCCCTTTGTTTAGGATTGATGCTTCTTTGTTATTAATGCATCAGATTGTTATTGTTACTATATTAATCCACCCGACTCGGTGGGTCCCCTCCACCATCTAACACTTTCACTTTCGCCAACTCATCCCACTGTCACCGTGATCCTGTAGGCAGACAGGAAAGGCATGTAAGCACATGCTGCAGATGAGGAAATTGAGACCTAGAGAAACAAAGTGAGTCCCTGTGGCCACAGGCACAAAAAGGAAGGGTCAGGACTCGAACCCGGATGGTCTAACTTCTGATGTAGTTCACTGTTTGATCTGTCCCTGGTTTGGGCAGTGGTCAACAATGGTGTCAGAGCTAAGTGAGGGTTAAAGTCATCTGGGACTTTGCTTGTGGCTTGGGGTAGTGGGAGAGGAGAGATCAGGACAAGGGACTTTCTAAAGTGGCCTGATGAGCACTGAGCAAACCCTCCTTATACAGGGAAGATGGACCAACTCCTAGGAACAGCTGGGCCTTAATGTCTCCAAACTGATCTGGAGAAAGTTTACATTCCCTGAAAGTTCCCTGGTGAATTTTAGACTGACCCCGGAGCAGTCAATTCTAGGAGAGTAGACAAGAATAGCTTTTTCTTTCTCACTCACCCTTGCATCTCAGCTTCCTGTGTGTCGCTGGATAAAGACTTCAGTGCGTCTATCGAGAAGAAATATGCTGTTGTAGTGAATCTAAGGGGAGACACTATAGAGGATGCCCACATCCAGAAAGTCTGCTCAGTTATGCATGGTACAGTGAGAAACTACGCTTAGCAATCCAAGTGATTCCACCAAAGACATAGGATACTATTCACCTTAAGACCAAAGAAATGAAAGTGAAGGCAGAATGGGAATATATCATGAATAGAAATGACCCCTGAGAAATGGCTCCCACAGAGTCATTTTGAAAGGTAGCTATCTTTGAGACAGATGAAGAGCTGCCCCTCTGTGACTCTCTTTCCTAGAGCAAACAGAACTTTCAAATGTCCAAGGCATGGTCCTCTTAGGGTCCAGGTTGGGAGATGGGTAGCAAAAAATTGCTTATGTAGATTTGCCATCTATTGGGAAAGGATCCACTAAATTATTACAGTTAGACCAACCACATAAAACTACAGGAAACAATAAGTAATCTGTTGGAGGAAACAGAGGTATAGAAAAATTTACATGTGATAGATATCTAGGGTATGTTTAAGGAATAGTCCTATAACATTGAATTGTCCTAAATGTAATTCTAAGGAAGCAAATTTCTTTTAACACTATAATCATATTCTAGAAAACAGAACTTGTATTGGTTCAGTTACTTTTTTTTTTTGCCTGATACCCTTTTGGACTGAGCATGATTATACTGTATTTTTAAATTCATACATTTATTTGTATTTTCTCATAATGACTTACTTCCTATTTAACTAGAGTTTCTTGAAAAAGCTTTAAAGTGCACACAGAGTCTGTATTTAGCTTTCAAAAGAGGTTGCTGAGAAAGAACTCTGGTGGCATCACGTGTTGGGCAATGCATAATATATTGGGCTGTTAACAGAAAGGTCATCAGTTCAAGTCCAATTGCTGCTCCAAGAGAGAAAGGTGGGCAGACTCCTCCTGTAGAGGGGCACCCCGAAACCTGCTGGAGGGTCACCATGAGTCAGAATCCACTCACTGGCAGTGAGCTTTCTGGTTTTGTGAGAGGATAGGAAAAAAAATGAGAGAGACAGGATGAGTTTTCAAAAGGCAAAGCCCTGGAGAAGTAGGAATGAAAAGAGATTAGGAAGGGATTTCCATCAAATATTACAAAACAAATACATGCATTAGTCTCCAATTCCTCCCTAAATCTCAATAACTACAGAAAAGAAATTGCTTTAGGGAAAGAAAAAGGGGAATAAAAGACATCCACAAGCACAAAGAAAACACAAAAGCAGCCAAGAATAACAGCACTTTGCAAGTAGAAAAGCAGATGGATGAGTCGAACTGGCTGAGCAGAAACAATAAAGCTGAATTCAGAACTTGCCAAGAACCAGCCCAATCAATTTATGCTGCAGGACCAACCAACTTTGTATTGCACCACCAGTTATTGAATCACATGGACTTATTACTGTGATGTTCTCATAGGCTGTTCACTAGCAACACATCTATCTGACCAGTTCCAGGAAATGGAGAATGTACAGAAAGGTTGTTGTTGTTGTTATGTGCCTTCGAGTCACTTGCGATTCATAGCGACCCTATGTACAACAGCCCTAAACCCTGCTCTATCCTGTGCCAATCTCATTGCCTCTGACACATCCATCCCAATTACCCCAGAGCCTTCAAAGAGATAAGACATTATCATCAATAGCCTTTAGAGAACAGAGACTGTACTTCTGGAACAAGAACAAAATGCTATGAATATTCAGAAACCTGAATGACAGTTCTTAGCAACACATCACAGCAGGAGTGAAAAGCTCAAGAGGACTGGACAACAAAGCGGAAGAATTGTGAAAAAGAACAGAAAAGACAAACAGCAAGAAAGTTAGAAGGAAAACTGAGGGGAAGAAAGTAGACATCCAAGCTGGAAATCCTATCCTGAAAAGAAAACAAGAAAAAGAAAAAAGAAAAGAAAAGAAAGAGACAGAGGTGAGAGGGAATGGAGAGTAGAAAAAGATATAATTCAAAGATATAATTCAAGACTATGCCCCAAATGATGCAACCACTGTGTAAGGCAGTACAGCACTTTCCCAAAAAGTTGGAAATAAAGCACAACAATGAATGAGTGGAAACCCTAAGTCTCTGTAAACTTTCACTAAAATTAATAAAAACATTAAAAAAAACCCAAGTTGGAAATAGAAATACCGTTTGATCCAGTAATTCCACTACTAGGAATAAGCCCTAAAGAAACCAGAACTGCCACCCAAACAGATGTATGCACACCCATGTTCGCACAATAGCAAAGGGATGGAAGTAACACAAGTGAATGGATAGAAAAGCTATGGCATATACACAGCACCGAAAGTCGAGGAACTCATAAAATTTTACACAACATGATGACCTTGGAGGATATTACGCTGAGTGAAATATCTCAGTTACAAAAGGACAAATATTGCATAATGCCACTGTTATAACACAGGACTGACATGGGGGTTGGGGAGAAACTAAGACAAGGGGATAAATAATAAAAACTGCATTGGAACAGATGAAGGAGGGAACAATTTAAAAGAAATATATGAGTAGGCATTATTTGTATGACAACAGTCCAGAATAAGAGGTGCATAGCAAAGTGGACTGGGGGAGGGGTGGGAGGAGAGAGGGAATTATGCAACAATGAAAAAAAAACATATATACATACATGTTGTTGTTGTTGTTTAATGCCGTCGAGTCGTAGACGACTCATAGCAACGCTATGAATGAACAGCCTGAGCACTGTTCGTACATAGAGTTTCCAGAGGCAAGCCATTTTGGAAGTGGATGCCACTCCTGCTCCCAGGCTTGATTTAGTCGGGAAGCTCCAGCCAACACTGTCCACCATGGGTGCCCATTACCACGACTGGCACATCACTGTCACAGGCTTCAGCATCACAGCAACCACGAGTTACCTCTGTACAGCAACGCACAGACCAGTGCTATACCACCTAGAAGAATGTTTG